TATATATATATATATATATTTTAAGAATTTGTGATCTATGATCATAAAAATCAAATCTTTTCAGTTGAAAGGATTGTGTTAGGTATTATAGACACGTGGAGAACTTTCGTAGTGCAAATATGTATTTTTTCCTTTGTAGGACACCGTTACACCTACGTGTGATATATCTATAGAGAATCTAAAGGCTTTATGCGATGCATCAGGAAAATAAAATTCCTCTCTGTCGGAAAAATAAAATTTTCACTTGTTTATGAATGAGTAAACTCGGAAGAAATATCAAAAAAGATCGTACTGTTTTCCAACATAATGTTTTATTTCCACTCGATAAATATATTGTCAACGTTCGTTTAATGCTTTCTGAATTATTCTCATCTCTGATATTGCTGATACCGGATAATGGTCGATAATATACCCTTTCGTGTTTTGATGATGATAACAAATCTGGAACAAAAAGGGAATTTATGTTTTCACAATTATCAAGGAGAATAAAAGGAAATAGAAAATAAAAATATTTGCAAGTTTTATGAATTTTAAAGCAGAAAATATATGAGTTTGATCTTTCAATTTTTGTTCATTTCGAATGATTTCATTAATTCTTCCATTTCCAAATCTCTTTCTAGATATTATTTTACAAATTTTGTTCCATCATATTGTTGGTAAAATACAAATTCATTTGATCTATGCAGTGAAATCCAAGGAAATTGTAATGAAATTCCATCTATAGAATTGACTTAATCGATACTATGTGTAATATATATACATTTAAAGTCAAGAGAAATTCATCGAAGTTCCTGCAGAATTTTGATATTTACCGAATTAGTATCGAGTTTCGATTAATTTTAACTCTGAATATTAATTGTGAAATTTAGGGAACGTGGATGAAATTATTGATTTATATATAAATCAATAATAATATAAATTAATATATTCTCACAATGTAAAGATTGTCTTTCCAAACGAATAAACTTTCTTATTAAAAGAAATAAAAAATTTTCTTGTTTGAAATTAAATTTTAATTTAATCTATTACAAATATTTTATTTACTTACTTATTTTAGTATATATATTAACATAAACTGAGACTAAATATTAAATTTCAATTCAATTTAAGTATAAACAATCTTAAAATTTCTCTTTTCAAATTTATGAGAAAGAAGTAAAAGTCTACAACAAGAAAATAAACCATTCCATATTTGTAACACTTTGCCAATATCGATCTCATCATTAACAATTTAAAACGTTATGCGTGTTCAATATTATTTTATCACGTAAAACATTCAAGATCCTTCCCCTCCTTCCCCGGACGATCAACAAATTGCAGGAAATTGAAACTACACGCTCGACCACTCATTGATATCGCACGTGACACATGAAACACTTGAAATCGGATATTCCCGAGCGATATTTAGGCCATTGATTTTTCTCAATTAACTAGGGATATCGATTGCAACGTTTAATCGAACCTTCAGTTCTCGTCAAATATTGCGAGCTATGTTTACATTGTCCGATACTATGCGTGATATTACATGTTTAATGCGATGAGAGTTTCTCTCTCTCTCTCTCTTTTTATCTACCTATCTATCTATTTTTTCAATTCAGATAAGAAAAACGGGATTGTTAAACGATTGGAACAGGGGGAAAAGAAAAATAAAAAAAAAGAGATAAAGAGAAGAATAAAAGGGAAAGAAAAGAAGAAGTGATACAGAAAAGAAAAATACAGAAGAGGGAAGAGATAATGAAAATGGAGGAGAGGAGAAAAATTAATACATGGGAGGAGAGAGAAAAGGAATAATGAAGGATAAAAACAATTAGGAGAAATCAAAGAATTTTTTTCTTTCGAATATTTTTCATTAACGTTATAATTCCACTATTTCATTCCATGCCAAAGTCTATTTCTATAATTTAATCACTGATTTTTATCGCGTATTTCTAAAAAAAATGATTTGAAAAAACGAAACAAAAAAAAATTCAAATTTCCGTTCAAAAATTCATAAATAGAAAATCGAACATCCCAATTTCTTTTTCCACCTTCCATCTTCATTTCCATATTTTGCCCAAATTTTCAATTTTTGGTCCAAGGGGAATACACGTTTCCTTTTTATCATCCTTCAACGATTCCCGTCGACTCGAAATCGCCTACGAGACATCGCCATAGCAACGTGAATAGATTAATCCACGGATATATACGCGTGTGGAATTAAGATGTCAACGTCAGAGTTGAACAGGCTTCTCCAAAGTTGCTGCCCTTGGACCGTGCATGTGCGCAGTGAGGAAGCTGCTGATCCTATTCGATCGGGAAATTGCACGATAAACGTCAAAATTTGATGACGATGCGAAGACGGATGGCATACACATAAGCCAAGAGACACGAACCCTCGAAATTCGAATGAAATCTCTGAAATGAAATAATTCGTCGATGATCCTTTTATTTATTTACAAAGTAATTAAATTCCAAATCAATAAAGTTTTGTGAAAGCAAGAATAGAATGTCAAGTGTCCAGAATGACTTTAGCTTGAAAAAATATTTTTAAAAACTTTAAACTATTAATAAGTTTCTCATTCAGAAACTTGTTTATATGTAACAACATATGACAATTTTTCTTAGAAACACAATTTACTATTAGCTAATATTATCATAAACTACATTTACCAATTAACAAACATTTCATTATATCTTAGAATAATTTGAAATCTAATATCCACGTTTTATTTTCTCTCTCGTCGATCTTTAATAATAATAACAAGGAAACAACTAGATTCTCCCTCGAATTCGACATGAGAATTACATAACAAGTCAAAAACATGACGAGCTCGTAAGTTTCAACACGAGCGTCTGGTGATTGTTGCTTTTCTCTTATTCACGTCAAATGGTCGGCTGCGTTACCTCGTAAATTTGATCGTAATGTTGCCAGTCATGAGATGTTCTTCATTGTTCTTTGCCACTAAACTTTGACCTTTGAAGCTCGAAAACCGCTCTCCCTCATTCTTCTCTAAGTTGGTGAAATGGATTATAATCATTTTATACGATATAGAGCGAGGTATATGCAATATGGATGAGATTTAAAAGGAAATATTGTATCTTGAAAGTTTGATGGAATGAAAAATTGCGATACAAGATTCTCTCTATGATCCGGATGAATATTGAATGAAGTTACATTTAATAAATAAGAATTATCATTCAAGTGATATATTAAATAAACATATAACATTTGATGAACGATCCAATTCAAAGTTGATATAGAAAAAAAAAAAAAGATATCAAAAGTGATTAATCACCATTTATTTCAACATAGAGATATCTTGTTTTTAATAAAAACAATATTTATCTAAAAACTCCATAGTTGATTAAATTGATAGTGGTTTAATGATGAAGTTAACTAGAAAACTGTGCTCTCTCGTCCATCTACTTTATCTCCTTCGAACAGGAATTAAAACGAAATTGCATATTCTCCCATTATCCGAAAATAACATTTGCCCTTATTTATCCTCGTTATAAATGTTTCATGTACAATCTCGCGTTCAAATTATCACGTATTATTCTTTCAAACCTTCTTTCACTCGAATAAATTGCACAAATTACGAGAGACACGTACCATTCTCATTCGTCACACGCTTTTCTTGAAGAAACATCTTGAAAAGATATTACGCCAAATTTCTCTATCAATAAAGTCACCAGAATCTCTAAAAGGGAAAGAAGAGAAGGAAAAGTAGCGCAACATGGAGCACAATCTAATCAATCCTTTCTTCGAAACTTCCCTTTCTTCCTTTCTAATGGAGACGACGTTTTTCAGGGTTTCGAGGGTGGAGAGACTAACTCGTGGCGACAATTCGCAAAGGAGAAAAGAAGAGGGAAAGGAGGGCGAGGAGAAGGAAAGATGGTTTCCTCGGCGATCTTCGGCGCGGCAGCTGGTACCGGTTTGGCCTTGGTCGTCGCGATGACCATAGTGGTGTATCGTTATTACGCTGTGAAACGAAAAGGGAAATATTGGAGCAGTCTGGATCGTTGGCCGGATCCACCGGGCACGAAGAAGGGAGAGGGACGACAGGAACAATGCTCGGAGCATTGTCATGATTCTTCCTCCTCGCATGTGCTCAATTGCTGGCGGAAGCAACAGAAGAATTATTATGCTGTCCAGTCCAGGGTATGTACATAGAAAATGTTTTACTCGATTCTCCGTTTGAATTCTCTGTTTATGTGCTTGATATTAATTTAAGAGTTAAGATATGCTTGGCACGGTATGAATAAAATATCGTTTTCTGTCTTTGTTCCTCCTTCGTGAATGTTTGGAGGATTGTAATTGTGCAAAATTTGAAATTTTAAGAATTTAGGATTCGATTCGTGTAAAAGAGAGGAAATTTGTAGTAATAGAATTTTTAATTTGAAAATTAAAAAATTAAATTTTAAGGGAAAGAATTTTCTTTGTTTCTTTCTTTTTCTTTTCTTTTTTTTTTTTTTTTTTTTTTTTAAAATATGAAAAATATCGTTTGTTTTTTTTTTTTTTTTTTTTTAAAATATGAAAAATATCGTTTGTTTTTTTTTTTTTTTTTTTTTAAAATATGAAAAATATCGTTTGTTTTTTTTTTTTTTTTTTTTTTTTTTTTTTTTTTTTTTTTTTTTTTTTTTTTGATAATATGATAAATATCGTTTGATGATTTTTATTATTATGCAATTTATCACTGGGATCTTGTTTGAATATCATCTTTTGTAGCAAGCTTATTAAAAATTTTATATATAGTTTAATTGAAATTTTTAATGGAAATTTGTTATGACATAAAATTGTCACAGCAATGTTTTTTGTTTTTGTAAGATTTGGAATTTTTATCAAATTTTTTTAATGCCATTGATGGACAAACATGGAGAAAAACTGATTCAAATCGTTTAAATCGTTTAAATCGTTTAAATCGTTTCATTTTGAAGTGATTGTGTATCACAAATTAATTGAAATTTCTACTTAATGGTAATTTTTACAATCATTCATGTTACGTAATCTAAATTTATTCCCATCATATGTCGAAGACATTATAGATACGTAATGTGAAAGTTTACTATATATATTATTTAAATATTATCTCTGATATTATCTCATACTTTCTTCCATGCAAAACTAGTAGCCTCTGACCTAGTAGTTATGATCTGATCATAGCTGATAAGTATAATTGCATTTTCATAATATATATGATAAAATAAAAAGTATAATTCAAGTAAATTTTTTTTTTTGCAATTTTTACGCGCTTTTAAGGCGAGTTTAAAATTTGAAGACAAGTTTCAAGTGGATAAACCACGTAATTAGTCAGACACGACGCTTGATAAAATCTCATCTTCTACTTAACACTTTAAATTACAGTTTCTGTTATTAATTTCACAAATTATATTAAAATTTATTTTCTAGAACTATAAATTGAGGGAAAAGTATTTAAATTTAAATGATAAATAATTGAAACACATTGAAATTAATTAAAATTAATTTTAAGATAATATTTTTCAATTTTCTTTTTTCCAAATTTAAAATAATATAATTTTTAATTATTCAACAAGTCGATCGATGTTTTTCCAGTCCATTTATTAGTCATTAGATAATCGATTTTTAATGATACCAAGATAATTTGTCCTTAATTTATTTAAATTATTCGATTTGCAAGAAAAAAACATCAATTAAAGATCTATCGGTTTTATTAGGCCAACAAACTTCAATCTATTTTAAATTGTAGTATAATTGTTAGAGTATTTGTATTAATATTAATAATCGTTGCAGTAATTATATTTATTCTTTATTCGGATCATATATTATAAAAAAGTATATAGTTGATGATATTTTTAATTTTAATGTGTTGTTTCAATACATGGAAAAATAGTTTGTATCCGATATTATATTCGAAATTTTAAAAAAAATAATCTTAATTTACTCTTTTATTATTATTGTTTAAAATAATAAAACATTTGGCAAATAAATCATTTGGAAATAATTGATTTTTCAAGTAAAATTTTAAAATTTATTTTACAACTATTTATCAAAAAAAAAAATCAAAAGATTTTTCTTTTGATAGATATTCAAATATTAATTAATCTAAATTCAAAATTATAATCAATTGATATATCCCAATTTATTAATGATTCATTGTATACTACATGATTATTCGAAATTTTATTAATATATATTATCAATTAAAATATGCTTTGCTAATAGCAATGATTAATTTGAGTATAATAAAATATTGATATAATTCGATGTTTTGGTATATATGTTTTGTAAATTTAAATGTTAATGTTTTTTAAGATATTACAGTATTTGAAGATTTTTTACATGATATATTTTATTTATAAAATAATATTTAATTGTATTTAATCAAACTTTGAAAAAAGCATAATTATTCATACATTTCATATAAATTCATTTAATTTAATTTACAATAAATGTTCAGATTATCTTGTTATCCCTCTATATTAGATATAGATTAGAGAAATATTTAGATATTATAGGAATCATATAATTATTTTATGTATTTTATTTTCAGTACAATTACATATTGCAAATAAGTTAAAAAACTAACACCATTTTTTCTGTAGTAAAAATATCGACATAGCAGAATCGATAAAAATACGAAACAATCAATAATCTTTTATATGATATAGTGATAATATATAGAATATGATATACAAATTTAACAATAAAGATACAAAC